GCCTGGAAGAACACATAGTAGTGTGAGGTCTCCACATTTGAAGTTTGGGAGCAGAGAAGTGAGGCCTTGTCAGTGCCATGACAGATTTGTCTCACATTTGTACTTGGGCACTGTAGGGGCTGGGCAGGTACAGAACTAGTTCTGATTTGTTGTCCCCCTTCTTCTGCCCTGATACTAGAGAAATACAGCTGTTTATTTAGCATACCTGTATTAATTGCTATTGCATGTGCTTCTGTTCCCTTCTGCAGGAGACATACACATCCTTATGAAGCAGCTTGTGCTGTTTGGTTATGATGAGCAAGCTGGGGCAGTACAGCAAGTCCTCGAAGAGGTTTTGCAGTTGATGGAGACCTCGATCCCAGAAATCTGGACTCCAGACCTGCAGCAGAGCTCTGTCAACCTGGTCTGTGCTCATCCACAATACCCATCATGCCTGCTATGCAATACCAGTATTTAGCGGTATTTTGCATTCTCCAGCAGAGTCTGAAATCCTGCCTTGGTTTTCTAGATCTGCTTTTTTTCTGTAGAGGTCAAATAGATATTCTGTGTGGTACCTGCCAAGTCAGTACACTCTAGATGTGTACAGCAGGTATAGCCTGCTTTGTCCCTTGCACTGAATGCCACGTTGGGTATGATAGGGTCTCATAAGGCTTGTTTTACCTTGTCCTAGTGGTGACTTCTTTTCATAAGCTGTATCTTAAGCAATTTGTAGAACATAGGAAAACTGTTTTCTTTTTTAGGCCTGATAGTTGAAGCGTTAGCATAGCTTTTATGTACTGGAGTAGTGGTTGTCCAACCTGATGTTGTGAAGTGAAAAGCCACCGGACTCGTCAATTTAGTCTGAACCAGTATATCATGAGGAGTGTACTGCAAAAAGAAGGGTTGTGTCACCGTCTAAGCTTCAGCTTGATGCAGAATAAGGAAATCACGAGGACTGCACATAGTTCCCTTCCAAAGTAAAGGTCTTTATTTCTAATAAGTAGTTTCTGAGCGATCATGGTGAACACAAGGTATTCCCCAGTATCTTCTCCCTAACTACTGATTAGCAAGACTCTGAGGACAGATTATAAGGACAGATTAAAACTGTTCTATGTGACAGGGAGCTCAAATGAACTTCAAATATTGCTGGCACTGTAATGAAAGTAGCACTGCCACATCATGACACTTAGAGTGCTATGAAGAAGTAGGTGCTGGGGTAAGGGTTCTGTGTCCTGAGAAGCTGTCCGAAAGCAGAACCTTTGTGTTAACTTTTCTGAGACATTACTGGGCTTTGATCACATATTCCTGGTCACTTTGTACTGTGAGGTCTCCTGCAGGCAACTGCTTCTGCTTTTGGAGACTAACAGCAGAGTTTCCTTGTAGGTATCCCTGCTCTTAGCCTTGCTTTGTGTGGGTTCAAACACGGGTATTGCTGCTTCATACAGGTCCTGGGACCCAATTCAACTGCAAACAGCATTATGGCTGCCTATCAGCAGAAGAAGATGATGGCTCCTGTTGTACAAGGTTAGTTGAGGCTTCAAGTTAGGTGTGGCTGAGGTGTCAGTGAGGTCAGTGACCTTTGAGGCTCTCCAAGCATTGCTACCTGCCAACAGTTGCAGCATTTATTCAGTTGTAGGAGTTTCTTGCTTTTCTTTGTGGTGTGCCCTCCTGCTTTGTGGCAAGTGAGCAGCCTTCTTAATAAGGTCTTACTTGCTCTGAAGTCCTATGCGAAAACTACTGTCTGAATTGTTCTCCTGGCTTCCTGTGTGTGTAGCGTCTCTCTGTTGTGAGGGAATTGGAAGTTTGATTTCTTATGGAATGTGTTAGATAATTCAGCTTGTAACTTACCCGCTGAATTGTTCTATCTGGCTCTGGCAGCCAGGCCAGGCTCTTGACCAGGCCAGGCTACGGTCTGTCATGGTGCTTTGCCATCTTGGTGTCCTTGCAGCTAACACAAACTGAGGGCTTAGAGACCTAGCAAGAGTTGGTCCCCTATCCCCTCTGTCTTCCTTCTTCCCCACTAGTCCTGCAGTCTCTTCCCCTACTAGTCCTGGAATTACCTGGAGAAATCCTCTAATAAACCTCTAGATGTGAGCTGTCTATTGCCACTTGCCAGGGCTGGCTACAGAGAACTTGTGCCTCTTACTCACATTTAACAGAGCCAGCTGGCTGTTGGGTATCATGTCCCAGTTACTGGTGAATGAACAGAGTTCTGCTTTCTGCCCATAATTGTTGCCTTCTCGTTCTGAATGGTAATGCTTAATGGAGAGGGGCCTTGATTTGCCCCAGAGTTTTATATCTGTAAGCAGTTCTGCTGGGAGAACTCTTCTGTGCAGGCCAGTGATCAGTCACTAAAGGGAAATGCTATGTGTCAGAGACTTCCCAGTGTCCTTTGATGTGAAGAAAAGTAAACTAAGTAGTTGACAGCTGCTGAAGAAACCATATCGCTGTTACCATCTGCTCTTACACTTGTCTTGTTTGCCTTTCAGATCCGGAATTACTTATGCCACCAAAACTCAATAAAAATCTACAGTGGAAGCTGCATCTTCTCCAATAACTAAAAGCTATGGAATCCCAGTGGACTCTGAGCCGTAACTTTTGATATAACTTCATTATATCTTTACAGAAACCATTGTTTTCCTGTCATTTCTGATAGGCTGTTCTTAGGGCTGTGCAAGTGAAGGGTGCCTCCACCTGATATGACTGTGACTGTGATCTGTACGGCATCACGCTAATGGGGACAGCCACTCAGGTCCCACTGCAGAGGTGGTTTGTGAGGTTGGAGAGTAACAGGGTGTGCAGGTCTGAATGCTGCTGGTTGAATCCAGCATCTCCCACCACTGTACCCTCCCTTCTGGATGAAGCAACCCTGCCAGTGTTGGATAGGCTATTTTCTCTGCCATCACTCCCTCCTGTCGATGGTACCTGCCATGATGACAGGTCACATTTTAAGCTGTTCTGCTTTAGAGATCTCACCATTAAGTCTGTACCAGTAGTAAATTGTAGTAGTTGCTAAACAAATGAATTCTGTTTTCTCTGTTGAAGCTGGATGTTGGTAATACAAGGTTTTCATCAGTATCAGAGTGAACTTTGCAGTACCAACAGTTGTTACTGTCCTCAAAGTATGCCCATTTGCACCAGGGAGATCTTGGGTAGAGGAAAACATGAATAAAAGCAGGGGGAGGGGTGGGATGGGGGGTGTCTGTGTCACACACTGCTGGGTATTACTACCCTAATTATCTGAGTTTAAAGAAGATCAGCTAATGCTGCTGTCTGACACTGATGAACAGCTGTACTCTGATTATGCTGTGTGCTATTGCATAACTGTTTCACCTGGAAACTGATGTAACCTCATACCTGAGAATTAGGTTTTACCCCAGAATACTTCTGCAGTGTGACTCAAGAATTAACAGTAGCAGTCCGGGGAGCAGAGGAAGGGGGCAAGCTCTGCAGGCAATACCGGAAACCCTTTCAGGGGTAGCATATCCCTTTCCCTCAGTTAATTTTGGCCTGGCAGCTGCTGTGTTCAATGCAAGCCATTTCAGTTAGGTGCTGTGGAAAAATGCCTGTTGGAGGTATGGAACAGACAGCAGTGGGCTGTGCTCTTACTGCACAGCATTAGCATGTGCCTAGTGCTGCAGATCATTGTTTTTCTGATGTGAGAACCCCATCATGCTGGGATGACCATGGGGGCTTGCACTGTATGTGCTGTACTGGGTTGGGGTTGTTGGGAGTGGAGTGGTAAAACAATCCTTTTGTCAGTGTTGCAAGAACCATTGGAGTGGTCTTATTTCCAGATGTTCTGAGTTACGTGGCCTGTTCTGAGTGGTGTGGGGCTGGCTTAAGCCTGTTACTAAGTACTGTGACTACACTGGAAAGAGATTCTCCAAGAGTAAAGCTTTCAGATGGCAAAACACATGAAAGGCTTCACAGGGCAGGGGTATTTTACTGCTTCTAGGTCTTCAAAATGGTAGCAGAACATAGTCCAAAATGAAAGACAGAAGTCTACTTTCAGATTTGGAGAAAGGGTGATGGGGGATCCTGCGGTCCCCTCCAGGGTATGGAGGGCTCTCTGAAATGCGACACTGACACCACTAATTCCTGACGTTCCTAAATCTGATGCCAGGGAATGCTGAGGTCTTGTGCAGCCTAATTTGTTGTCTAAAAAGAGGTTCTTTCTTTAAAGAACCCAAGAAAAGGTAAAACTAGTGCTGGCTTTCTGAGGATTCATGCTTGTGCCTAAACACAGTAATTCATTTAATGTACGTATATGGGTTCTTCTGCTTTTATGTAATCGTGATGGTCAAAGCTGAACACCCTCTGGTCTTAGATGTGTTTTGCTGTTCTCCCATCAAGGCAAAATCACTTTAAATATGTCATCTAGGTGGAAGACCAGTCTTCTAAGTCATTCATCACTGAACTCCATTGTCTTCACCCAGCCCTCTCCCTCCTGAATAAACTTTGACTAAGTAGTAGCAGAGCTGCAAGCAGCACCTAGTGTTAGCGTCTGTGAGCCACCGAGGAGGATGTCCTGCCTCCTCCTCCTGCAGTTGCTGAACCTTACCTTCTTTTCAGATGCAGCCGGGAGTCTGCTTTCCCTTGATTTCTACTAGGATGATCTTTTGCTTTCTTAGTGATGCATGTCATCTTGAAATATATTCTGCCTTAGCTGCTGTCTTTACAGATGCGTTGAATTTGCTCTCCTCGTATCTGTGGAGGCTCTTACAAACGGATGCAGTTATCAGGAATTGAAGTAAGCCATTAATGCAGAAATACGGAGTTAGGTTAAGAAGTGTCCCAATTTCTGAACAAAGGTGGCTGGATGTAAGCCTGAGTCTCTCATTAAGAGTAGAAGTTTGTCCCCTGTCTGCTGCCTAGCTTTATTAAACACAAAATTCAAAAGAAACTATTTCAGGCACACAATACCACAAAAAGAAAACAGCTCCAGCAGAAATTTCTTAATTACAGCAAGGGGTGGAAGGGAGGTGATATTGAATTGATTAAGGCACCCAGTGTCTTCTTCAGAAGCACTTCTTAAAAATGCAGGAAGGACCACGTTCTTTATATTCACTCCTGCAAACCCAGAGGTCCTGGAAAGAGGGGAGTGAGGCCAGAATAGACCCACCAATCCAGACAGAAAACTTTCTATGAGGGGATGCGACTGTGATGAGTTTGTCATTGGGGAACATCCTGGCCAGTTCCATCTGGAAGTGGTTGGCTCCATCATAGTGCTGCCCTGACACAGCAAGATATTCTCCACCATTTTTTTCTGGACATCAGCATCACACTTCTTGAGACAGGTGAGTGTCAGCTGCGAAAGCCCTCGCTGCTGTGAGCCACGTAAGGCTGGTTTGAAGAGCGCTTCAGCACAAAGGAATCTCTCCTTGCCTACAGTGAGGAGGTGTCCATCTGGCAGTTTGTAATCCATTTGTTGCTTCTGAATAGGCAAACTCAAGTCCTGTGCAAGGTCCAGAGAAGTGTAACAACACTTCTCTTTGAGATATTGTATGACGTTTAGCTGGTGTTCTGTGAACACGTTTCCAGACTCATTTAGTAACTTCATGAGCTAACATGTGATGTCCAAGCCAGCATAATCTACTCTCCCAGTGATGCTACGTGTAACATAACTTTCATAGATGGGAACCACATGTGAAGTGCCATGGCCACTTTCCACAATGAGAGCTGAGGTTTTTCCATACAAGTACATGGATAAATTGGACTGGTAAGCAATGTGGATGGCAGGCATGTGAAATGCTTCAAACATCTTCTCAGCATATTTCTCCTTGTCAGTGATGGTACACAAGGGAGGCACTGATACCAGAACAGTGTGGTTCTTTGGCTGAATCTTCACCTCCATTTGGAAAGTATACTCCAAAGTATCTTGGACACAGTTCCAGTACACCACTATGCCATGTCTTACTGGATTGATGAGTGTTAAGGGTACACTGCTATTCTGAAGCTCTCTTCCAACAAAGGTTTCTTTTTGCTTGCTCCCAGTCTCCCGTAGGGGCTTACCAGCTGTAGATAACGTAGGAAGGCCATGGGTCCCCTGCAAAGCCACACTTGAAGTAACCTGTGCCAATGTCGATGACTACTGCTTTTGTTTCCTTCATGGCCTTGAGGCTGCCCTTGGTTGTGGATATGTGGCTGTCCCTTATAGGCTTCAAACAGTTTGCAGACCTTTCCTGTACAGCTGTGACTTCATGCAGCGAGTGCTGGACATCCTTCTCAGTAGCACTGCCTTGCCACCACTCCACCTAGGGTCAGTCAGTGCAAGCAACAGACACTTGCCTGGAACCCTGGTGGCAATGGTTCCACTGATCTCACTGACTTACAACATCATACATAGGTTTGCCTCTCAGAAACCAGTACTGTGCATGCAAGTGTGTGACAACTGTGACTTAGGCAACTGTGCATCATTTCTATATAGATGGATTGCAGGTGTTTGTGCTTCATTTTGACCTGCTCTGAGAGGTACTAAAAAACATGACACCCACCCAGATGTGACGGGCATAAACAGTGTGTTTAACTGTGAAGCGGCATGGCTTTCCTTTCTGGCCTGTGTCTGCCGTGTGAGGAAGACCATGGTTCTCCAGCATTCGCAACTGCTTTTGGTCCAAAGTAATTTCTGTTGCTAAGCATTAGCACCACTTCACCTCCGGGGCCAAGTGAAGCCCTAGTTTGACTGTGTCAAGGGTGAATCCCTAGACTGGCAGTGTTCTGGTCATTGTTTCACTTTTTTTTTTTTTTTTTTTTTAAGTTTTGGTTTCTAAATTAAGGCATAATGTTACTAGTATCAGCAAAAACTGAAGCGTGACTGGCATTTGAAAGTAAGCCACAGCCAAGCCCTCACCCTTACTGTCTCCCATTTCACTACAGGAACATCTTTGTTCTTTTCCAGCAGCAACAGGTCACTATTTGCCCTACCACAGTGTGTGCAGTAATATGCTGCTGCATGGGGGCACGGAAGAAAAGGACACACTCTCTCACATCACCAAGAATTACAAACAGCATTTTCCTTGTATAACAAAAGTTCTGTGTGCTCTTTTACTGAAAGCCATACCCAGAGGGCATCTTACTTAACAAGCCAAAGCTGGGCTTAGAATGAAATTGAACCCTGTAAGCCAGTTCTGGACGTAGAAACAGATTTTTACTACTACGGCTCTGCTGCCTATCAGGGAGTTGACATCTTGACGACAAATGACAGAGGCTCACCAAAATCCCAATGTGGAGAAACAGAGCAGCATTAAACCACGCAATTTCTTTACCAACCTCAACATAGGCAGCCAAGCAACTGCAAACCTCCATAGTTTATTACTCTGGGGAGCAGTAAAGCTGGTCAATGCATATTATACATGTATTTTTATACACACATGATTAAATACATCTTTGTGCATGAAGAGACAGGCTGCCCCTCTTCTAGATCTGGGCTCAACACCTCAGCTTCTGAATTAAAATTAATCCTTTCATGCAAACGGAACACTTCTTCCAGACTTCGGTTCACGTACAGATTAGTGTGGCAGTAGCACAACAAAGCTGCAAACACACCTTCAATTTCAGAAGTCACTTTATTTTGTGTTGGGGTTTTTTTGTTTAAGCTATTACAAAGTTAGTATGCTGCTGTTTCCAGGCTACTTTTTCCCACATTACATTTGTCATTCCAGTTAACAAAAAACATACATATCCACTAACATTTTGAGGTCTTTGTTTTAGCCTGAACTCCGAAGACACGCTGTAAGATGATTTTTTGCAAAGTCATTTTGGCCAATGTTTCCTGAGATGTTCCTTTAACTGTGGGATAGTGGACAGCTGTTGTTTGCAACGATGGCATCTGAGGGGTAATTTGAGAAGTTCAGAGACATGATCTTTCACCATCACTTTTCCCTTGCTTCTTACCATCTCTATCACATCTGAAAAAAAAATGAAGAGACCAGAGGTACTGGGACCGTGTACTGTCATGAAACACGTGACGCTGCAGAATCTCAGCACACTGCTTCACATGCATAGCATGTCATCACTGCATTCTAATTTAAACCAGTCACAAAATTGGGTTGACTTTTACTTAGCGCTATTCCTCAATCTCTGAAATTACATAAAACCTCTCACTTATTACAATAGACTTTACGGCTTACACATTTGTTTGGAAAAAAAGCCCAAAGCCAGAACCCACAAGCAGGATTATGTGTTATGAAATACCTTTTCTAATCATTACCTTGAGAGTTTAAGAAGTAGTCTGTAGTAAAAGAGTTCCAGTGCTTTTTGGTTTTCAGGGCCGGAGAATCAAAATCCTGGCTGATTACATGCAAATGTAGCTGACTGAAACAAATACATAGATAAGAGAGAATAATGTTAATGCTCGAAGTCCTTTTGCAGTAGTACCAGTTGCAAACATGATTCAGGAGAGTCAGACTGCCAGCCTTATGGGTCAGTCTTACCGCGTGTGACCCATAGTCCTGCAACAGAAGAAAGGCAGTCTGTTCTGGAAGCACTGTCTCATGCCAAGTGTTTCACTCACGGTCAAGGTCACTAGTCTGCATATTCCATTCGCCCCTAACTACAGTCTATATTCCTGCTAGTTCCCAAAAAGGCAGAGACAGGGGTTTTAATAAACCAAAGGTTTAAACTTTGTACAGTCCCTGAATGGGACTTGATCAGTGACTTTTAAAGCTTCATCCAAGAACTGGAGAACAACTTAAGAACACTGATTGCAATATCCACAGGCATTTGGCCACTGTAAGACACAGACTTATTTACACACAAGACTCCTTGCTCAGTATCAGGCAGGACTTGATAGGCTTAAGAGTCACTCTCTCATCACAGATCAGTGCCATGGGAGGGGCGATGCCCTAGCACTTGGCCACTGGCAGCAATGCCTGTTTCGCTAGGACTGGACCACTGGGGTACCATAGCCCCAGCTACAGACCTCTGCTAGGGGAACCCAACAGGCATTTCCCTCTGGACCCAAGGCACCTGTGTAGCTGACCAGCACATACGCAGCAGTGCATGCACAGGTGCACCCAAAGGACTTGGACACCAAACTGTTCATGGTGTTTAGGAGGACTAGTTGTTCTTTAGCAATGCCAGATCACATTACAGACTTAGCCCCAAGTCTGTATAACAGGAAGAACAGGGTCTCTGTTGAGTCATCTGATGAGTCATATGGGTCTTACCTCATACTGGGGATAGCATGGTAACCCAGTCTGAACTCCAGACTCTCTCTGGCAGGGCACTGTTCGATCATTTTCTGCCCAACTGCATGCATATGCTCCAGGAGTTCAAGATGGTCTCTGGTGACTGACTTCAGGCTTGAAAGGGGGTCCCATGGTAAGATAAGCCAGTGGTAACGTGCTTTGGGATATTTATCCTTGATGACTACAGTCTTTTCATCTTTGTAAACCTTGCAAAACAAATAACTAGATTATTTACTGATTGAAAATTGATATGTTATCCATCTGCACATCCTATTGTCGTTGCAGAAGTCCCTAAGCACACATATGTGTTGCTACTGCAACTGGCACTGCCAGTAAAAAAGCCAGGAAGGATTACTAGATGGGGAGAAATATCAAGCAGCAGAACATTTCATTTCAAGGAGGACTTTTGCTGGAACTATGTTGGTTCAGGATATGCGCCTTCTTCCATACCAAGCACCCAGCAGCTATGGACAGATGTTCCAGCAACAACAGCAGAAAAAAAAAGAGGGTCAAGTTGTTCCATTCTCTTTATCTACTTTAAGGAAAAAGCTTTCTATTCTTACAAAGCAGTAAGTTAACCATTGCTACAGGTGGATACGAACTCTTGAAAGCCACCTGGACTCACAGTACCAGTGAGGTCCAGGAAACTCTACTTCCATCAGGCTACATTTAAGCTTTGTGGTCACCGAAACAAAAATCACAGCACTTTGCTCACTATAGAGCACATAGGAATGCACTGGATGGCCTCATCCTTTGCAGACTGCTGGAGTGATACATGAGTCTCAAAGGTGCTACAAATAGTGTGTTCACTGCTGCAGACCTGCGCCAGCATTACAAAGGCAAAAACATTCAAGTCCGAGCTATTTCAGTTCATGGTCCCCAATGTGCTACTTTGTAAGATCACTCACAAAAAGGAGAAGAGATTCCAGTCTATCACCCTTCTTCCCCTGTTTTCATTTTGATCTACCTTCCACAACAATTTGATGCAGCTGATGAACAGAAACAGTAGCAAAGCACGTGGACAACAGGGGGGACAACCTGCCCTCGGCAATAAAAATGTGTCAGGTTCTGAAGCAGAAACTATGTGCTGTGTCTCTGGTCTCTTAGCAGTACCTCTGTTCATGAGAGGTGGATGATGTCTTTGTCATCTTTGCCAATTATTCTCATATATTTATATACAGAGCTGATTAGTCTTGCTCTACAGGAAGATTAAAATTCTATCAGCACACAAATCATAGGGCTGATTCAGCAGCAAGACTGGTTGATGCTGTCATTTTTATATACACACATTAGCGTCTGCATACACAGCTGGTGAGAATGGGATCACAATCAAGTGTTTTCAGAAGAAATAAATATTGCCATTTATTTAATATTTGATAAAAAGCAAAGATAGTAGTTCTATTGTTTGCGTATTTTGTTCAGAACCAAAACTAATAAAGCTAACACTAACTCACAAACAGTTATATGTGTTCTAACATTCACAGAATAGTTTTAAAACCAGCTTATCGTTTGGGTGAAGAAAGCACAGTCTTGGTAAGTGCTATGTGAAATTCCACTTAAGGGATGAAGATTAAGCTTCATGTTTAAAAAGTAAACAAGTATTTCAATAGCTTTATCATTCCCCACAGAAAGACTCATTTGAAACTGCTGGCATTTCCAGGAGAATGGGCATCTAGTTCTCCTACAACTCTACGCATTTCAAAACTTTAGACTTGAATTAAAAAAAAAAATAATCAAGAAATAGGGACCTTCTCATTAGTTATCAAGGAAATTATTTTAAGCCTGAGAGCAACCATCACCTAAGGGGGCCCAGCAAGGCTGTGGGATTTCCGCCCTTGGAGATCATCTCAACTCAAATGAACAAAGGCTGGGGCAATCACACCCAGTGCAAGTGGTCAGACTGGGTGACCTCCAAAGGTCTTTTCCAACTGAAATTATTCAGTGATTTCTAGAACCAAGTATCACAGGTGTCAGTGATATCCATCCTCCTGAACACAAACTCTTGCCAAGAAGTACAAAAGGAAAAACGCATCTCTAATGTTAAGATAGCCAAGCAGCAATCAGTCAGCCAAAACCCAAGCTAAATGGACCCAAGCTTCAGGCCTTATTCTGCCAGACAGCAGGATATCAATGGAGAGCTTTCTCCTTATTTTGCAGCTGAGCTCAAAATCTTGGTTTTGAGAAGGAGTTGTCTATACATTTGCCATAACTTAAAAATAAAATGAAAGTAGGTTCTATACATGGATAGGGAAGATTCTCTCAGGGCTCTTTCACAATACAACAACGAGAAAGCATGTATACGCTGCAGCCCCAAAAGACATCTGTCAGATTTCTGCATCTTGAGTCTGACCTCCGCAAAAGCATGCAGCAGACAACAAAAAAAAAAACCTCAAGGAAAACCATTATGCAACCATAGGGAAGCAGAGGGAGGGAGGTGCACCTGGAGTATCTGCAGAGGTTAAAAGAAACCAAGTAGGAAATTCCTGTTGGCACAAAGAAACCAGGTGGAGGAGGAGCCATGGGTCACATCCTGTCAGCTGGCACAGAGGTGTTGCAGTTAAGAGTTTGCTGGAAACCAGGAAACTGCATCATATTTGGAAACAAGCCAGTGCTGACTGCTGGGAAACAGGAATCTCCACTACGTGTTCAGTCGCAAACCAGAGCCCCATTTTAGTAGGTTTTGCTGAGGAAAGAAAGCAATTGCACTGCTCGCCTGCAATCCCAAAAAACTTTTTGAAATCTGTTGGCCAAATCTGACATTGTAGAGAACTTGAAGACAATTAAGATAATAATATTCTGCAAAATCAGTACAGTAGAAACTCCCAAATTAATGCTACTACAGAGAGAGATGCAAGTACCATTTGGCTCTTATGCAGTACTCCACTGGTTAATCAGATCATTAAACTAAACTGCAGAAGGAAGAAAACAAGGTCAATTAACTTTGTTAGACAGGAACTACTGTAAAGTACAAGTGTACAGCTCTCACCTGCATTTTTGGATCTTGCATGGAGCTCTTTAGACCCTGACTCCAGTGTCCTGAAGGTTCCTAAAGCACAGAAGGAAAAAAATAATTTGTAAGAGAATTAAGAATCCAATTATATGTTTTAAAGCATTCAGTTAAGTACTTTCATTAGTATAAAACAGCAAAATAACAGCTGAATGACAGATTAATTATTTCCTTTCTATAAATGTCAACACACCTGCTCCAACTGTCCTCCCAAAGCTACTTTTGAAAATTTTTAACAAGATACTGTTAAGATTCAAAGTTAAGACTTTCAAATGTTGGAAATTTCTGGACGTGGGGATTGAGGGCACCCTCAGTAAATTTGCAGGTGACACCAAGTTAGGTGGGAGTATTGATCTGCTGGAGGGTAGGAAGGCTCTGCAGAGGGACCTGGACAGGCTGGATCGATGGGCTGAGATCAATGGCATGAGGTTCAACAAGAACAAATGCCAAGTCCTACACTTCGGCTATGAAACCCCCACGCAGAGTTACAGGCTGAGGAAGGAGTGGTTAGAAAGTGGTCAAGTGGAAAAAGACCTGGGGGTGCGGGCTGACAGCCGCTGAATATGAGACAGCAGTGTGCCCAGGTAGCCAAGAAGGCAAACAGCATCCTGGCCTGTATCAGGAATAGTGTGGCCAGCAGGACGAGGAAAGTGATGGTCCCCCTGTACTCGGCACTGGTGAGGCCACACCTAAAGTACTGTGTTCAGTTTTGGGCCCGTCACTCCAAGAAAGACATTGAGGTGCTGGAGTGTGTCCAGAGAAGGGCAACGAAGCTGGTGAAGGGTCTGGAGGGTAAGTCTTAGGAGGTGCGGCTGAGGAAGCTCAGATTGTTTAGCCTGGAGAAGAGGAGGCTGAGGGGAGACCTTATTGCTCTCAACAACTGCCTGAAAGGAGGTTGTAGCGAGGTGAGGGTTGGTCTCTTCTCCCCGCTAACTAGTGACAGGGCAAGAGGGCATAGTCTGAAACTGCACCAGGGGAAGTTCAGGCTAGAAATGAGGCGGCATTTCTTCACAGAAAGGATGGTTAGGCATTGGAATGGGCTGCCCAGGGAGGTGGTGGAGTCACCATCCCTGGAGGTGTTTAAGAGAAGACTGGATGTGGCACTTTGTGCCATGGTCTAGCTGACATGGTGGTGTTAGGGCAAAGGCTGGACTTGGTGATGCCAGAGGTCTCTTCCAACCAAATCGATTCTGTGATTCTGTGAAATTTAACAACAGGGAGCTCCAGATCTATTTGAATTTACTAATTTGCACACACATTATGACACAGTCCTTGATTACTATTGATGACAGATTATTTTACTAAAAGACGCTCTCCTTCATGGATCACACAGGCCAAAGGAAGTACAAGGATCTCCATTAACTGTCCTATCACATGCTGCTCTGCACAGAACAAAGAAGTGGTTGTGGTGTGTGGCCATACTCTTAGATGGATGTATCTTTTTATATTGTGCAAGGAGTGGCTTGTAGAGAAAACAACAAAGGCACAGGAAGATCAAGCCAACACTAGCAGGTATCTCTTAACTTTGCTACTGAAAGCCTAATAGAAGGTGCCTTAAGTGTACTTTTTTCAAAACAGATAATGTTTTATCTATCCAGATGACTTTACAGGCATTATCAACGATGATCTTCATATTCTTATAGAGGAAGATAGTCAAACATTATTATAGTGCTGACAGAGAAAAGTGTGAATTGTCATCTCCCTGCTCCATACCACCACAAATCTCGCCCTAATATAATTAGCCTGAGTTCACAAATGAAGTAAGTGGTCAATCCCCGCCACAACCTGGGACTGAAATTTTGTCCTGAGGGGTTTAATTTCTGTGCCTTCTCCTCCAGCAACTGCACTGTTATAGTTCCAGATGCGCTAAGCAGTCTTTTATTTTGCCCATGTCAGCAGGACTAAAAACTCCCTTTCAAAAGATTTTGGCTGGTAACATTCATTAATGTAAACACGGTTCTACCATAAGGTATGACCAAAGCAGGTGGAGGGGAGATGGAGCAATTAAAAAGAAACAAAAAGAAGGTCACGTTGTTCCATTCTCTGTGTGTAAGCTTTTAGATAACCACTGCTTTATTTATAACACAGCAGACTTCATCTCAAGAGCCAGCACAGTATCTTTGTGTGACTCCAGATAAACTGACCTCATGTGGACGGTCCTAGCAGAAACTGCAGTAGGAACCAGAGATTAAATCCTCACTCACTACAAGCAAATCCCTTCGCACACACACCCCCCGAGCTCAGGTTAGAATGGGTCCCAGGTAACTTTCTCAGGACCTGGGTGATGTCAGGAGCAGAGTCTTTGCCTCAGCGCATGTCAGCTCACGTGCTCTGAATACTCTGAGAATCTGTGTTCACCTGAGACACTTCCTCATCAGTAGTACTCACAAAAGTAAAAGACCAAAGCCCTGCTGGAGGAGACAACCCCAGGAGAAACAGCACAAGTACTAATACCAACACACTTGCCTTTTTGCTTGAAGTTCCTTCATGCGGAGATACACTGGTATTGCTTAGCTTGGGATTTGCAGAACTGCCTTGTGTATCCACCACCTCCATCTTCATCGTTTTTCTGGGCACAAGCTCTACATCATCATTCTCACAGGAGTCCTCACATGGCGTCTTGTAGGTTTGTACTTTCTCTTCTGCTTCTGTAACAGTTTTCCCTGACTCTTCAGCAAATTGCACTGTGTAGGGGTAAAGTTTATTCACAATATGCAGAACTTGGCCTGGCTTCATTTTCACCTCTTCATCCTTGCCAATATTCATGAGATCAACACTAGTTGGGTTGACTCCTATCTTTGGTAAGGAGGAAAAGGAAAAAAAATAGCAAATGGTGTTGTAACTCAAATCACCAACTACTGCTCCTTTGTCCTGGAATATCACTATCCTGGGAAGCAAATGCATTTTGTATTCACTGCACTCCCTCCCCACACTGACTGGCTCTAGAGGATCAGGGAAGTCCAATGCTGGAAACGCCTCTCTATGCCTTGCAATCACAGCTGTCAGCACACAACCCTCAGGGCACGGTGTCACAGGGACCTAACAGTTCTGTAACAGCTGGCTACAGAGTTGCAGCAGGATCTATGCCACACTTGGCTCAAAAAAATCAACAACCTATTAAACAACTGGCAAAATAATAACAGCATTAGTAACAATTACTTCTGAAGAGCAACAGTAATTTTATGAAATTGTTTCATCCCCAGAATCCTCAGAAAGTTTCCTGTTTTCAAATTATTTTACCTTCTCTTTCTTCTCCTTTTTACTACACTTTGTTTTCTTTTTCTATCAAATGCTGTCCCATCAACACGTTTGCCCTCAAATACACAAGCACACTCTTCTGGCTCATTTCAAGAGAGAAAGGAGTTCAAGCTTACAACCGCTGGCTCACCAAGCACAGCCCACTGCTAACACTTCCAACACACTCCCTTCTGTGTTGGCAAAAAAAAAAAATAAGAAAAATCAGGAAAAAAAAAAAATCTCTCTGAGTCCCCACAAGAGTCCACTATACAGGGATCAGCTCCTTGCTCCTGTCTTTTTTTTTAATTTCCCAAACCAAATGTGATAACCCTTCTCCAGCCCACTGTGTTCAAACACAGTGACGCTTGTCTGTTTCCTCAAGAGAGGCTAAACCTCTTGGTCCACTTCAGCTTCTGCAAAGTATATACTAGCTTATCTGTATCTTAATGCTTTTATTTTCATTTTGCATCTTGCTCTTTCACAAAACTGTCTGTTATTTTTTCTAGCAGAAAATGAGGACAACAATGTCAAATTTTTACCTGCCCCTCTTACTGCATCAATTTACAGCTCTATGCAACTCTAAAATAATTTTCCCCTCAAAACAATGCTTTAAAGACTGAGAAGTTACCCAAGTTTAGCTGATAATTGAAAAGCAATGCATTTTCCTCTGTCTCAGGCATAACTGATAACACAAAGTGACGTGGCCAACCTATGGTGACTGCTTGATAGAAGGACTTTGCCTGATCATGAGGGTGACCCTAGGAATTCGGAGTCTCTGACTTCACCAGAATGCTTTGGGTTAATGTTCATGCACGAAACAAGCTTTAGAAAATCAGCTCTTCCCTGTAACTGACAAACTCTGTCACAGAATCTTTTCTTTAGCTGTGTCACTGCAATACCTGCCTGCTTCACAAGATGGTACTGTGCCTCTCATCACTTGGTATTCACTGCGATGAAGCAGCCACCTGATTCCAGCCAGGATTTCTTCAGTCTACAGTTCCACTCAAGTCAAGTACACTTCACATCTCCCAGGCCAATACACTATCAAACAACTGATCACTGGAACCCTGTGCCACACACATAACACCTGGGAAGTACCTTTAGGGGAGGCAGTGAAAACATGCTAGCACTGACCGCCAGAAAGTATTCCCAGCCCCATAGTATTCAAATTACGGCTAAGGCTGACTTCTGTGAAAAACTGTTTCAGAGATCTTTGCTGGATTCACCAGATACTGGTGGGGTCCTTGTGCTTAATGAACTCTGGAGGTGTTTTGCTGGAAGACGTTACTCCTCAGTCAGTAGAATACAATGTGTTGTCCACACATGCTGATGCTGTGGGTGCACATACATCCCCCAGCACCTGAAGCCAGAGAATTTGCCCTTCATATTATCTGAGGGGTACCGGTCCTCATAAGTATGAGAGAGTAGGCCTACATCCATCCCATTAGTAACATAAGAATGCCTCCAGTGCTGTCTCACATCCCATCCCTCCCCAGAGGTGATCACACCTTTGGCTCTATCAGCCATCAAAACAAAAACCTTCCAGAACTGCCCAGTCCCATTAAAACAAGAACGAATTTGACCTTAAATGAAGGGCTGACTCAGCTTCAGAATTTTAAGGCTCAGGAGGCAGATCAGCAAGTTTAGGGGAAGAACTCCAAAATCTCCCAAACATAGCACCTGGAAGAACAGGTTGAGGATTCACAGCAGCGTTCCCTGATGCTGTAAGTCTGGCTGTCTGAAACTGGAGTGAATCTGGAAGGAATAGTGCAGCCTTTCCATTGAGGTATGCACACAAAAGGAAAAAAAAAAAAAAAAAAAGGCAGATCCCTTCCAAGGACCACTCACTGTGCTCTCCTTGGTCCTAAAACAGCTTCAGGCCCTTCAGATCTGGTGATCAGAATCATCACTTGCAGCATTTGTGGAGTTTAACTACAACAACTGCCCCAGCATCAGAAATATTGTACACCCATGTAAAAACATACCTGCTTAACTGTGACATACCCCTTGTTACAGTCTGCTTTTAACTGAACTGGAAAGAAAGAACAAAGTGTCACAAAACAATGTAAATAAAAAGCCCATTGAACCACCCCTTGCAGAAAACACTCCTTTATTTTAAGATCTGCTACCTTCTGAAGCTGATCTCTGCAAATGTACACAAAGAATATCACCTGTGGTCCTGGAAACAGAGGATGAGGTAAAACAGAACCAACCCATACACTGAGTCATAGCTGAGTATTCACATCATAGACCGGCAAAACTACTTCAGAATAAAGGTGAAATCTGTGGAAGTCTTCTACATGTTCTTGCCATTCTCACCAGCCCTATGTGGCAACAAGGCACGGAGCAGGACTGTGTCCAGAGGGAAGAAGGATAAGGCATGGAACATGTGAAGGGGAGGATTTTATCGATCACAGGTATTTTTATATATTCTCCCAGAGCATCTATAAAATAACAAGTCATACTAAAAATCCATTGGTGGAAGACTAGGGAGACGAAGTGCCACTCACAATGAAAAAGCGTAGGCAGTGGAACATGACTGTGGGCCTAGGGACTCACGTTAAGGTTCAATGCCTTAGTTTACAAAGGTGAACTCTCTGTTACTAGGTGTCTCTTCCAATTTTTTAGGACTCAGAGATCTCCATAAGTGCTTATAAAAAAAGTGTGATGACTTCAAAACCAGGCAACACCATGGACCATGCAGAGAAAGGTGACCATAAACCAGTGGCTGCAGAAGCAAGTCTATGGAAAGCCTGTTTAGATTTCAAGGAACAACTGTGATTTCCCGTTTAGACCCCACTCAAAGCAGGTTTACAAATTAGGCCAAAACACTGGTCTACTAGCTTCACTGTAATTTAGTCAAACAGAAGAATGTATTGATAAACATGAGTGCTGTACTTGTATGTCACATGCTTCACAAGTTGGGTTGCTGCTGCATGTAGAAAGTGGGATTGGAGCTAAACCTTACCTTGCCGCCGTGAACACTTCTTATCCGTTATCCCAGTCTCTGGGCCACGCCCAATTACCACTGCTTCCAAGTGTGGCAGTTTTATTCGCTGACTGCATTTCTCTTTCCCCACAAGCCAGCACACACGCATCACTGTGCTATAGAGCAAAACAAACAGTATGTTACTAAGACAGTGCTTCCTGATGGGTTATCTTCCTGTGGAACGGGGTCTAGGAATTATGCTGCCAGCCCAATCATTAGCTGAATCACTTCTGCTAACTGGGTTCATGTTACTGAAATTCATGGCAAATCACAGCATTAACACTAGCATAATCTAAGAGCAAGTTGCTGTTGAAAGGGCAATCCTGTTTTCCTGCCTTCTACATCACCATACATTCTCAAATCAACAAATCATATATAAGAAAAATCAATTGGATAAACAGTTCCATCCAACGGAAAAGCCTACCCACAAAAAAAGTGATTTGTTTCCCACAGAATCAGAGTTGATCCCACCAAAACAAAGAAAGTGGCAGAAGACAGAGAGGGCGAGAGAGGGGGATAGCTTCATCCAGCAAGTCTGCAGATGGACTATGCTACGAAACCGAACCCTCAAGTTTACACCAATATGACCCTGAACAGCAAAGATCCTGCACCTTCCTCCCTGCCTGGTGTTGGCGCCAAGCGCTCCTCCTCCCAACTCTGTGGAGAGCTTATCGTGGTGGAAAGCAACTGGGGACGGGGGGTCCCCAGTGCAACACCAGCACCCTCACACACAAAAACGTGC